ATAAAATGCTATTAAAACTACACTGGATACGTTCACTTAGCACCTAGAGACAATTATACCACGTTCTCTTAGCACCTAGGAGACAAATGAACGTGCAGTGTCTCCGTGCATATGCCATGGAGCTGCAATTTCTCCTGAGTCTCCCATAAGAAAAGTTGGAGATAATGGCCATAGTTTAAATGACCTGAATAAGTGGTATGAAGTCACGTCAGCATCCAGTCTAATGGGCCCCAGGTGAAATGGGCCCCAGGTGTAGTGGGCCCCAGGTGTAATGGGCGCTAACCTAACCAAATCTAATCTAATCTAACCAAACATAACCCAGCCTAGGTCCACCTTCCTACAGCGACCGCCTTCCTACAGCAGCTCGAGGAGGACTCTGGATTAATCACGTTAATGACCATTATTAGCGGCCACAATTACTTAATGTGATCGGGAAGAGGTGACCGTAATGACCTTTCCTGAGCCAGTCATGCTGATTACCAGAGACGGAGATCAGGTTAATCCGACCATTGAGGAGAGGAGGAGGAAGAGAAGGAGGGAGGAGGGAGGAAGGGAAGAGAAGGAGGAAGGGAAGAGAAGGAGGCCGATTAGAACTGGGACCTATAGAACTGGGACCTATAGAACTGGATCTATAAAACTGGGACCTATTAGAACCAGAGCCTATTGAACTGGGACCAATTAGCACTAAAGCCTATTAGAACTGGGACCAATTGCACTAAAGCCTATTAGAACTGGTAACCTATTAGAACCAGAACCTATTAGAACTGGGACCTTTAGAACTGGTAACCTATTAGAACCAGAACCTATTAAAACTGGGACCTATAACATATTGGGCCAGCCATCGTCCAATTTCACCCAATTCTGTTACATTCCGTCAACCTATCATATCAACCTTGCCCTCCTCCCTTACCCTGTCCCACCCTATTCATATTTCCCTCTCTGTAACCTTATTTATCTTCTCTCACCCTCTCTCCCTCAATTGGCCTTCTCCTTCCTTCCCTCAAGCCCTTTCTATTGCTCCCCACTCATGCCATCTTCATCCTACCCCTCTCTATTGCTCCCCTCAGACCCTCTTTATTCTAGCCCTCTCTATTACACGTACCCTCTACTCTACCTCACTCGATTTCCCTATTAATTTCCGTACTGATATAACCTTTTCACGGTCTCTCTCTCTCTCTCTCTCTCTCTCTCTCTCTCTTTTCCCCCTCTCCCTCCCCTCCTCCCCTCACCCCTCCCCTCACCCCTCTCCATCATAGCAGGTGTGTGAAGTCGGGTGTCGGGTTACCCTGCTTTCGTCTCTTCAATAAAGGACGTGCCCCGGAGAGTCGTGTAGCCCAGAGCCTGTCCTACTATCGTTGCCCTCCTCTCTTATATGGTCGTCGCTTTTTGTCGTGGAGGGGGTGAAGGGGCATGAGGGGTGGGAAGGGCGGAGAGGAGGGGAGGGTGTGGAGAGGAGGAGGAGTGTGAAGGGGGGAGGAGGGGTGGAGAGGGAGGGTGAAGGGCGTGAGGGTGAGGAAGGGAAGGAAGGACGGGAGAGGAGTGGAGGAGTGGTGAAGGGCGTGGAGGGGCGTGGAGGAGGGAAGGAAGGGGCGGAGGAGTGTGGAAGGGAGTGAAGGGGTGTGGAGAGGAGTGGAGGGGCGAGGGCGTGGAGGGGCGTGGAGGGGGATATAATAATAATAATAATAATAATAATAATAATAATAATAATAAACGGTTTATTGAAAAGTTCTGCAGCCCGAAGGCTGAAAATATACATTGGACATGAATGACTTATTACATACAGGTTTAACAAAGCCTTCATTAGAGAAAGGTAAAGGAACATACAGTGAACATACAGATTAATGTTTACACAGAGGGGGGGCAAACACAGTTCCATTTAGCGTGACAATATCTCCATACCTGCTGGTTCAACGCCTCCTGACACCCTTGGCTGACACACTCTAGTTTGGCACTCTTAAATGACACCCTAGGTTGGCACTCACTACAGGTTGGCACTATTGACACTTGGAGGGAAGACGAGAGATGGGTCGGTGAGAAATGGGGAAATGGTAAAATGGGGAAAATGGGGTAAGAGGGAAGGCGGACGAGAGAGAATTGGAAAAATACCCCATTTCCTGAGTAAACAAGGGAGGAAGGCCGTCTGAGCGTAATGGAATGGAGAGAGAAGACTATTACAATCATCCTAGGGTCTGGCAATGGTGGTGGTGGTGGTGGTGGTGGTGGTGGTGGTGGTGGTGGTGGTGGTGGTGGCGGTGGTAGTGGTGGTGGCGGTGGTAGTGGTGGTGGTGGTGGTGGCGGTGGTGGTGGTGTGGTGGTAGTGGTGGTGGCGCTGGTGGTGGTGGTGGTGGCGGTGGTGGTGGTGGTGTGGTGGTGGTGGCGGCGGTGGTGGTGGTGGTGGTGGTGGTGGTGGTGGCGGCGGTGGTGGTGGTGGTGGTGGCGGCGGCGGGGTGGTGGTGGTGGTTGTTTTACGTACACAAAACAAAGTACCATAATAGGCCTTCATGTGTGTGTGTGTGTGTGTGTGTGTGTGTGTGTGTGTGTGTGTGTGTGTGTGTGTGTGTGTGCCCTTAAGATAAATGGAGAAGTTATTTGTAGGTAGACCTAGTTAATAGGCCTATAAACGAGAGGAAACGGCCTATTTCCTCGTGTTATTGTATTATAGATCTTGTACGTACACACACACACACATACACATAAATATACACACACATCACACACACACACACACACACACACCTATAGTATGGGCGGCGTTATGGAGTTAAGGCCCGGCCCATTGCCCTGAAGGTGTATGGGTGGTTGTGGTGGGGTGGTTAGGTAGATGGCGGTGGTGGTCGGTTGTGGTGGTAGTGGTAGTGCTGGTAGTGATGGTGGTAGATAATAGTGGTAGTAATAGGTAGGAAGTAGTAGTAGTAATTGTGGTGATGGGTAGTAGTAGTAGTAGTGGTGGTGATGGTGGTAGTAGTAGGGGTGGTAGTAGTGGTGGTAGTGAACCATTTCTTCACCTACCTTCACCCCACCCCCCATGGGTGGTGACCTGGCCGACAGGTGAGCTGCACAGGTAGCGTCCGTAATTGACTTTTCACTGTTGGGAGAGAGATAACCTTCTCTCACCCTTGTCTCCTGCCTATCTCTCCAGGTGACATGAGAGAGGGGGAGGAAGGGTGATACTCGCCCAAAGGTTAAGTTGGTTAGGTTAGAATTGAAACCAGCCAATATAATACAGGTGTGGACCAATTAGTGGTGTGGGAGGTGTGTGGCTGTTGTTTGTGCCACACACACACACACACCTGGTTGGTTCAACAACTAATGGCTATCATAGAGGACAGTTAGTTACCTTTGACTGGTAACTAACTGGCAGATTAAGTGGTTGACTAATGGTGATGGTTCTGTTTGCCTCGGCTCTGATTGGTCGAAATACAGTCAGTTTCACGCACTGACTGTTGAGTGATTGACTGACTGCCAAATGGTTGACTTTCTGACGACTAAACTGACTGACTGCTGACTCCAAACTTCCTCCCTACCCTCCATGGATCCATTAATGACCCTCCTCCTCCTTCCTTCCGCAGGTTAATTACAGACACGAGATAGTATCAACACACCTGTCCTCACCTCCTCCTCCTCCTCCCTCCTCCTCCTCTCCCTCTTCCCTCTTCCTCTCCTCTTCCTCCTCCTCCTCCTCCTCTTCCTCTCCCCTTCCTCCTCCGTTATCTGTCAAACAGACGACATTTATTAACAAACTTTCAGGTAAAAAAAATGATAACAATAATTAACATCACCAGAGAGCGTAATGACCAAGAATCCTATTGGTGACCTTGAAGGAGGAGAGGGAAGGAGAGAATGAAGGGGTAAGGAGAAGAGGGAAGGGGGCAAGGAAGGAGGTGGAGGGGAAGGAGGGGGAGGAGGGGGAAGGATGACAAGGCCTCCAGCACACACTTGATGGATGAGGATAAATGGTATATTGGCTTCCGGCGTGGAGGCCAACTACTGAGGTCCTGAGGCTCTCTTCCTTCACCTAATCTAACCTAACCTAACCTAACTTGCTTGCCCCTAACCCCTCTCCCTAACCCGTCTCTCCTAACCCGCCTCTCCCACCCTCTCCTGACCCGCCTCTCCCTGACCCACCTCTCCCCACCTCTCCTGACCCGCCTCTCCTGACCCTGGGCCTCCCTCCTGACCTGCCTCCTGACCTGCCTCTCCCTGACCCGCCTCCTGACCTGCTTCTCCCTGATCCGCTTCTCCCTGACCTGAGGAATAAGCCGAGATTTATCGCCGGCTATAAATTCTCTTCAAGATAATACAAAATTGTGAGTAAACCGTTCCTGTGTAAAATGGGCCCCAACCCTAGTGGGCCCCAGTCTTTGTGGGGTCCAGTTCTAGTGGGCCCCAGTCTTTGTGGGGTCCAGTTCTAGTGGGCCCCAGTACTTGTGGGGTCCAGTTCTAGTGGGCCCCAGTACTTGTGGGGCCCCAGTCCTAGTGGGCCCCAGTACTTGTGGGGCCCAGTCCTTGTGGGTCCCAGTACTAGTGAGCCCATAATAATAATAATAATAATAATAATAATAAATCAACACATAACAAACAAAAACAACAACAAACAACCCCCCCCCATTCATGGTCTTCCCTCTTAGGTGATAACTAACCACCCACATTAATCACCTGGTCAGTACTACTCTATATCCGTCCTTGTTATCACCCTCACAAACCCACTGTCTGAGGAATTTAATAACTTGAAAGACTAATTGGACCTGAGCCAGATACCGATGTGATGGTGGGTGGGGTGTGGGTTGTGGTGGGTGGGCTTCTGGGTGGTGTGGGGTGGTTTGGTGGGCTGGGCGGGTGGGTAGGGGCTTGGGTGGGTGGGGGCCTGGTGGTGGGGGTCAGTGGGTACGCGGGGTGGGTTGGGTGGGTGGCTGGTGGATGGGTGGGGGTTGGGTGGTGGGTGGGGTGGTTGGGTGGTGGTGTGGTGAAAGATGCGACAGGTATACACTAGACATTAATTAATGCCTGGTTCACCCTCTCGATACATCAACCATCACAGGTCACCAAGAGCCATCACAGGTCACCAGAAACCATCACAGGTCACCAGGAACCATCACAGGTCACCAGAACCATCACAGGTCATCAGAAACCACATCATCACAGGTCACCAGGAACCATCACAGGTCACCACAGGTCACCAGGAGCCATCACAGGTCACCAGAGTCACGGGTCAACAGATCCATCATAAAACAACAGGAACCATCACAGGTCACCAGGAACCATCACAGGTCACTCAGGAGCCATCACAGATCACCAGGAACCATCACAGGTCACCAGGAGCCATCACAGGTCACCAGGAACCATCACAGGTCACCAGGAACCATCACAGGTCACCAGGAACCATCACAGGTCACCAGGAACCATCACAGGTCACCAGGGTCCATCACAGGCCACCATTAGGAGGTCAGGAAGCGGAGGACAGTTTGAGTTATCAGTGCGGCCAATTTTATGATGATCGTGATGAGAAGCGATTAACCGCATCAATGAAGTTAATTGACTCTATCTGTTAGCGAGTGACCACCTGACAGCTGGCACGATGAGGACGCCACAAGAACCACGGCCTCAGGTCCTCAAACACGGCCTGGAGTCCTCAACCACGGCCTGGAGTCCTCAACCACGGCCTGGAGTCCTCAACCACGGCCTGGAGTCCTCAACCACGGCCTGGAGTCCTCAACCACGGCCTGGAGTCCTCAACCACGTCCTGGACAAGACAAGAACCACGTCCTAAATCTTTAAGAGGAAGGAAGAAGATGTGGAGGCGAGCCGTGAGAAACTATCCCACATATGACCTTGGTTCCTGGGGCGTGGCAAACGTTTCTTGAAGTCAAACGTTTCTTGAAGTCAAACGTTTCTTGAAGTCAAACGTTTCTTGATATTCTTGAAGTCAAACATCTGACATCTAATATATCTCGCCATTTAAAAAACAAAACAAAACTCTCTCTCTCTCTCTCTCCAACACATAATGAGACAATCCACCACAGACAGACAGGCGGAAAAAAATTATTAATTACATCATCTGTATACTTCCATGCTTATTAAAAATGAATATGATGACCTTATGTTAGGGAGCAAGGGAGGATATGGGGGAGAATGTGGGGAGAGAGTGGGGGAGAGGATGTGTAAAGGGGGGGGAGAAGAGAGGACACGCTGGGAGAGGAGGGACGTGGAAGAGAGTGGGGAGAATGTGAGGAGGGGAGGGGGGGGGGGCGACGTGGTTGGGGAGGATATGGCAATGGGAGACAATGGAAGGATGGGGGAGAACTAGGGATAAGGAATGAGGGGTGATTTGGGTGAATAGGTGTAGTATTTGGAGGAGAGGAGGGAGGGAGGAGGAGGGGGAGGAGGGGAGGGGGGAGGAACGCAGCTGGGGTGGCGCCGCCTTGCTCGGCCCTTGGAGAACAGGGGAGAAGGGAGGGGGAGGAGAGAATAGAGAGAGGGAAGAGGAGGAGGAGAGAGAGAGAGAGAGAGAGGGGGTCAGTCAGTTAGGCCTACTCTAGTATTTACCCCTAGGCCTAGGTCTTGTTAATTGTCAGGTGAGATGGAGCAGTAGGAAAAGGGGGAGAAAGAGGAGAGACAGGGGGGGTGTATCCCATCAAGGGGTGTCTGGGGGGAGAAGGAGGAAGGGGGAAGAGGAGGGGGGAAGAGGAAGGGGAGGAAGGAGGGAAGAAGAGGAAGGGGGAGGAAGGAGGGAGGAAGAGAGGGAAGGGAAGAGGAGGGAGAAAGAGGAGAACAGGAGGGAGGAAAAGGAGGGAAGGAAGAGGAGGGGTATACTGTCCCATCATAGTATAATCAGGAGGGGGAAGGAGGGGTCTGGTGTCCACTTAGGGTAGACCATCAAACTCCCTCCTCCCCAAAAACAGAGCCTTTGTTCTCCCTATTGTCCCCAGCGATGTAGGGAAGGGCATCATCTACCTTACATACATACATACACCTACATACATACACCTACATACATACATACATACATACATACATACATACTACCGGACAAGAATTATTTAATGAGGCTTACACGTCCCCAGCCTCACCAGCCCTCACTAGCCCTCACTAGCCCTCACAGCCCTCACCTCCTGCCACTCAAACTTGATTACTTCATCAACCATCAAGTTAACTAACCCCCGTGGTAATATTTTGACCTCGCCTCTTACAGATGTTCCGACTCGATAATAATAATAATAATAATAATAATAATAATAATAATAATAATTAATAATAATATATAATATGTGATAATTGTGTGTTATGGATACTTAGACCTCACCTAAGCGAATACCTAGTGAACGGTGTAACCTGGTAGTTGAAGCACCTAAAACTAACACCTAATGAACGGTGCTTAATAACCCTGATAGTTGAAGAACATAAATAACACTAATGAAGAAAATTAACTAAACAACAATAAAATACGGGATAACTCAAAATAGTTTAGTTTACGGTGAAATAATATATTACCAGGTTTTCTATAATACTTTTACCCCAAACTAAACTAAACAGATATGTAACTCGTAAAACACACCTGGCTACCTTATTATAAAGAATTCACTGTCTCCCCACCTTGTAATTAAAGAATGGATTAAAATTGAGTCGTTAACAGCTGAACTACAACCCAAAACGAATAAGAAAGAAAATAATGTAAATAGAATGCATAAATAAGACAATAAAACAGACGAATTGACAAACTTAGAGAACAAAGAGGAAAACAAAGAAATACAAGTAAATATCTCAAACGAAAAGTGGAATAAGTATTTAATAAGTAAACAAAAGTAATGAAATAAGTAAATAAACAAGTAAACACATAAATAAAACTTGAAACAAAACAAAGGAACAGACAAGCCAACGGTACACACACACACACACACACACACACACACCAAAATCTCGGGTTACATAAGCGACTCGAGTGTGCGACATTCATACAGCACAAATCCAATTACTTCAGTACCCCCCTCCAGCACCACCTCCCAAACAAGTTCTCTCCTAGCTGGTGGGTGGGCGGCCTGCCTTGACAAGGGTCGCCTAGATCAATACAATTCACCCCCTCCCACAAAACAGTTCTGAGTATCACTACGCTAGGATGAAAATACGCCCCTCTGTGTGTGTGTGTGTGTGTGTGTGTGTGTGTGTGTGTGTGTTTGTGTGTCTCAGGGTGTTGTAGATTCGTTGAATTTACTGTTATAAGAGTCCTGAACCTAAGGGCAGGCCATACACCTAATGGGGACAGGCCATAGAACTAAGTGGGACAGGCCATAGAACTAGTGGGGCTGGCCATAGAACTAAGTGGACCTGGCCATAGACCTGAAGACGCCCTAGACCTAAGACTAACCCATACCCCTAAAGGGACCATAGACTAAAGGGAGTCAGATCACAACCCTAATGGGCCCATAGAACCAAGGGGCCCTAGAATCAATGGGGCCTCAGTTCTAATGGACCCCAGACCTAAAAAACCCCTAAAGCAAAAGGGGTCTAAGTTCAAGACTAGGTTAGGTAGGAACATGTTAGTAAATAAAACACTTTACCAACCAGAAAGAGAACTGAGTGCATCATTGCGTGCAGCTCACTCCACCCACAACTCACTCACGCAACACTCATTAACAAACTACCGCCCTAACACACTCAACACTCCACAGTTAACAGTTTTTCTTGAGAAGTTCTCCAATTAGACCAGTAATTCCCCTGTTGACTGGTGAAACAAGGCAGTTAACGAGGTGCTCTAAAATCCTCACCTAACTGACCTGAAACTGAGCCTGACTGACCAGACTGACCTACGTAACCTAATCTAACCTAATATTCATGACCTTTTAAACAAATTCCAGCACACACACACACACACACACACACACACACACACACACACACACACACATGTGTAAAAGAAAGAATGAAAGCTTGACACATAGGAAAAGTCAAATAATTCATTAAAAAGACCAGGAGATAAAGGAAACAGTCGGATAAAGACAGGAATGGCAGGAGAAGACAATGATGTGAATAGATAAATAAGGAAGGGAGAGGGGAGGACGTGTGCGTGTGTGTGTGTGTGTGTGTGTGTGTGTGTGTGTGTTAAATGTCTGTGTGTCTCTCTCTCTCTCTCTCTCTCTCTCTCTCTCTCCGGACATTCAATAAAGTAGGATTAGGATAAGAATAATACTTCTCCCTATTGTCACCCATTACTTGGGGGAGATGTGAGAGAGCTTGAGTACCTAGGGAGGGAGCAGGGGTGTGGGGAGTGAGTAACAAGGGAGGGGTGTGAGTACCTAGAGGAGGGAGTGGGGGGTGTGGGGAGTGAGTAACAAGGGAGGGTGTGAGTACCTTGGGATGAGTGAGTACACAAGAGAGGGGAGGGCATTTCTGGCATAAGTTCATTTGGGGGCATAATCAGGGCATTTCTAACCAATATACTTCACTTGGGGGCATCATCAGGGCATCACCATTCAGTATATTTCATCTGGGAAATATACCCATAATATAATTCACTCCCGGCTATATATCTTTACCGGCCATTTAGATAAACCATGACAGTGAAACCGGCTCAACATAACTGGCCGGATATATATAGCTGGTACGATACAAATGACCGGATAAAATCAGGCCGATAGAAAAATAGCCGGTTTATACATATGGCCGGATAAAAGTGACAGAATATAGCTGGTCTTCATAAAATTTGCCGGACATAACTCGCCAGATATAACTAGTTAACCGGATATAACAAGGCGGATAGAACTACCCAAGATATAACCAGCCATATTTAACCAACCAGGATAAATTTAGCCGGATATATCTAGCCGGGTACAAACGGCCGGATACAAAGCTGGCTACTTACATTACGAGATGCCGGCTTGACATTACCATCTGAATAGTCTGGACCCATCAGGGAGGAATTGAAGGAGGAAGGAAGGAAGGAGGAAGGAAGGAGGGGAGAAGGAAGGAGGGAGAAGGAGGAGGAGAGAGAAAGAAAGAGAAGGAGAAGAAGGAAGGAAGAAGGAAGAAGGAAGGAAGGAAGGAAGGTGAAGAAAGATAAAGAGGGAAAAGAGGAGGAAGTAGAAAGAAAGGAAGGAAGACGTAAAGGAACGAAGAGGAGGATAAGATGGAGGAAGAAAGGGAGAAGAGGAAGAAGGGAGAAGAGGGAAACACACGACAATAACACAATAGAGAAGAAGGGGAGGTGACAGATGAGTGGAAGTGTTGCTTACTAACCCTCTCTCTGTACCTAGTCTTTTTGATAATTACAGCGGCCACAATTAGATCAGGCCACTAACTACCGCTCGTTCCGCGTCCCCCCAACCACCATAACTTTCCTCTCCATCCCCTCCTCCCTCCCCGTTTCCGCCCCTCACCTCCTCCTTTCTCCAATAGCGACGCCTGGGGTTTAATTATACTTGCCTAGTGGTTTAATATTGGAGGTCGACCTTGTGAGTCGAGCCTTATATTGGAAGGTCGACCTTGTTGCAGGTCGACCTTGTGATGGAAGGTCGACCTTATATTGGAGGTCGACCTTATGGAGGTCGACCTTGTATTGGAGGTCGACCTTGTGATGGAGGTCGACCTTATATTGGAGGTCGACCTTGTGATGGGGAATTCTTAATAAATAAATCCCTTAGAAAATGTTAAAACAATATTTACCACTTATCATGAGAAGGTTAGGTCAGGTTAGGTTAGGTTAGGTTAGGTAAGGTTAGGTTAGGTTAGGTTAATGTCACCGGTCTGTTCCATTTATATTTTGTAACAATATTTTTCTCGGCCGCCTTAACGCTCATCAGCATGCAAAAGGCGGTGACTGACTTGCCACCACCTCCACGAATAAGTTACCCAGCTCACGTTTTCTTTCACACACACACACACACTCACACACACACACACTACAAACCTCGAGTCATGAAAGTATAATGTATAATCTTGAGAATTTTGTTTTTGTCTATAAGGAGTTTTATATATAGTACAAACACTAATACAAGATTGTTTCTATAAATTTCTATAACACCTGAAGATATTATTTTAATTATTTTAAATGTGGATAAATTTACTCTAATACAACCAAACAATTAATAAAATAAACGAATAAATTTAAAACACAAAAATAAATCAATGAAAAACGATAAAAAATAAATATTCGTACAAGAAATTAATAAAATCAGGATTAATTAGATCGTTTAAACTAAGAAAATCACTCGGTAAATTACATCATTTTATAAGTAATAATTTATATAACGATGATAAACAGAGACACTATATTATTTTAAGTATTTTTTTCAGTTCAGACTTTTATTAAGTATTGCTAAGGATCCAGTAAGCTTTATGGTTGGCAGCTTGAGTCATGTGAACAGCTTGAGGGGAGGAGAGGAAGAAGCTTGCTGACCCATTTCTCTACCTTGATATCACGTGAGTTTTAACTTAATTTAGTAACTATTACAGCCATTTAAACAGACGTAACACTAATCCGTACCTTAATTAGTGTAATTTTCGGTATGGGAATTATTTAGTAGCTTTATGGCGTAAAATTTTGTGTTTATTAGTAATTTGTTGAAGACTTTACCTGGACGCCCCGCCATGTTGCCAAAGTTACGATGATTAGTCTCCCTTAACGTAAAAATAGTCGTAATTAATTTATATTTTATGGGATATGTGATATAAGATATTATTAGTTAGTTATGTAATTAATTAAGTAAGAATTATTGCCTTAAATTATATAAAGTATATATGAACAGGTTAATTACCACAACACTGTACTCACCTTTCAGACGTCCATGTTTTCCATCGCGGTTTAAATGGCCACACAAAATTCCTCGCAATATATTCACTAATTTCGTTATTTCTTCACTATAATATCCACTTTTACATATAGTACCGTACACTATAGTCACTGTTGTTTATCCTGTGTAAATATAGTCACTGTTGGTAATGTTATATTGTCGTAAACACCATAAAACACATAATTTTTCGCCACAACAGCTTACCATCAGCAGACCCTCCTCTCGCCTCATTGGTTACGACAATTCGCCCTAATTGGTCATTACCACTTCTTATCTCTGATTGGTCACTAAAATCCCGTCATTATTTAAACTTTATATATATATATATATATATATATATATATATATATATATATATATATATATATATATATATATATATATATATATATATATATATATAAATATATATATATATATATATATATATATATATATATATATTTCATGTAAATCCACAATAAAACGTGGATAAGATAAATCTTGATAAAATCACACGGGAAAAATGGAAACAACGGGTACCTTAGCTTTCGTCTGTATATATAAACATTTATTTCACCATTTAGCATAATTATATCATTCGTACAGCTTTAGTCATTATTATTCATCATTATATTGTAATTTAGAGGTTAGTTAATTAAATTATATTATATTTGATCAGATTACAACTATTAGGTTAAGTCAAATGAGCTGGGGGCTAAACTTCACATGATCCATTACGTTGCCAGTAATTTTATATACAAGATATGAACTACTAAGCTACTGGTGATATTATACTGCCCGTGACCTAACCAGACACTGCCCGTGACCTAACCAGACACTGCCCGTGACCTAACCAGATACTGCCCGTGACCCAACCAGACACCAGCAGAACCTAACCTAACCATCCACATTCCTTCCTCTTGACAATATACGAACACAATCACAGCTTATTAACCATCCCACCCACTTTCATGACCACTCCACTCCTTCATGCCCACTCCCACTCCCTTCATGCCCACTCCCACTCCCTTCATGCCCACTCCCACCTCCTTCATGCTCACTCCCCACCCTTCATGCCCACTCTCTCACTCCTCTCTCCACTCCCACTCCCTTCATGCCCACTCCCACTCCATTCATGCCCACTCCCACTCCCTTCATGCCCACTCCCCCCTCTCCTCATTGTGCCCTATACAACCCTCTTCAATGAGCTAATTAAATTCAACCTCTTCTTCCACGCCAATTTGAAGTTGTATTCCCACTTGACTTCACTAATGTATTCTCTTTATACAACTAATTTATGCGTGTATGATGTATTTTTAATCACATGTATACATTTCTTTCATATACAGTAAGTTACATAGTATATACATTTCATACATATATACAAACTACGTGTATAGTATGAACTCTCTCTCCAACTAAGGGAAAAAACCCAAAGGGAAAAAAACTCTCCTCCATGGGAATAAACTTTCACCAGAGGGCCCATAAGTGGTAGGGGGTAGTGGTGGTTGGGGGTAGTGGTGGTAGGGGGTAGTGGTGGTAGGGGTGAGGGGTAGGGGTGGTGTAGGGGTAGGTGTGTGGTGGTAGGGTAGTGGTAGGGGTAGGTGTAGGGGTAGTGTAGGGGTAGGTAGGGGTAGGGTGGTAGGGGTAGGGGGTAGGGGGTAGTGGTGCCTTTCTCCTACCACCACTACCACCATTCATTTACAACACCACACTAGTACACACACACACACACACACACACCCTTTCCCTCCCTTCTCCTCCTCACCCCCAACCCTTCTCCCCCCCCCCTCCCACTAAGCTCAATGTCAACACACAAGATGGATTAACTCCCCATCATATCCCGCGACCCTCAAATGGCTTAACATCAAAAGGTAAAGTCAACACACTTGTTACATCCACAATGGAGTGATCCGCTGCCTTGAACACCGATGAAAGCCGCTGTGTGTGTGGTTAATAGGCCGCCACTACCCCCAGTCTGTTAATAGGCCGCCACTACCCCCACTGTCTGTTAACAGGGCCGCCACTACCCCACTGTCTGTTAATAGGCCGCCACTACCCCCACTGTCTGGTTAATAGGGCCGCCACTACCCCACTGTCTGTTAACAGGGCCGCCACTACCCCACTGTCTGTTAATAGGGCCGCCACTACCCCCACTGTCTGTTAATAGGGCCGCCACTACCCCCACTGTCTTAACAGGGCCGCCACTACCCCCACTCCAAATTATTCATCTTTTAACACAACTGAAAACATGGCTGCCAACCTTACTGATATACTCAATTATATCGAGAAAAATTAAATAATTTCAGTAACAATACAATTATATTTATTTAATAATAATAAATTACTTCCCAGGTCAATAAAAATTCACTCAGAAACCCTTAATAGGATATAGACGAATTACATCAACTACTGAAGAGGGCAGCGAGTTGTTACCATTAATTCAGATAGATAGATAGATCGATAAATAGATAGATAGACAAATTGATGGATAGATATAGGTACATAAATTTTGGAAGCTCATGAGAAACTATACTGGGATATTAAGAAAAATCCACGGCGATATTTAGGTCGAAACAAACCCCACAAGGGACTCTGTAAACACAATCATCAAGGGACTTTATAAACACAAGCATCAAGGGACTTTATAAACACAAGCATCAAGGGACTTTATAAACACAAGCATCAAGGGACTTTATAAACACAAGCATCAAGGGACTTTATAAACACAAGCATCAAGGGACTTTATAAACACAAGCATCAAGGGACTTTATAAACACAAGCATCAAGGGACTTTATAAACACAAGCATCAAGGGACTTTATGAACACAAGCATCAAGGGACTTTATAAACACCCACCCACAGACATCAATGGAAATTCAACTCGTAAAACAAAAACAAAATTCCTTTAAACTATATTTATTTTTTTCTAATATAAAGTAACAAAAGACTATCTCCTCAATTTAATACTTATGGTTCTTAAGTAACTAAATTAAGTGTTTATATATTTTAAAGCTTTTAAGTAAATAAAGAATAATATTTTACAAGACCCACCTGAAATAGTACATAAATATACATATTCACAGTAACTTTCTTATGTATAAAACACGTAACTCATACAATTTTTAATACTGAATATACATACTTCATCAGATAAGTATAATACATATTTTTCCATTCATTCATATATATATACATAGTTTGTATATCACGCCATCATCATTATACACATCAAAGTTATGTTTTGATGTGTGTATGGATTAGCTAACACAGTACATGGAGTCTTCAGAGTTTTCTAAATATGTGATAATTAAAGTGTTTGCCGTTTCTTAACATCTTGGGAAATGTGTTAATTAATGTTTACACTTTTTTAACACCTGTGGATCAGTGCAATATGTATTTCACTCTTTAACACAGTCATAATTACTTAGCATTGTTCTAGGGGATTCTTAAGTCACACTCAAAACACACTTATAAAATTATTCACAAGTTTTAAGTACAAGTCAAAGGAAGGGCTGACACAACTGTACAGTATATACACACCTTAGGGTTCACTTTCATATGTAAAAGCAATGCTGACAGTTGTGCTGACATACGTGTTTGATGTCATTGTGGTGGACTCGTTGGTAAGGGCTGCACCAGTTAACATAGGGACCTGTGGCTGGGAGGAGGTGTGAGGACTGTTACTCATTGGGGCCATCACTCACTAAGGGGCTGTCACTAACAAGGGCACTGTCATTCACCTGCTGGGGACTGTCACTCACTCGGAGACTGCTATTCACTATGGGACTGTCACTTGATAGACTTTCATTCACTAGGGGACTGTCATTCACCTGGGGACTGGCACTCACTGAGGACCCATCATTCACACACCGGGGACTGCGTGACGGTAGCCTCTCACCATCATTGTGTACCTCCACTACACACCGCCTCACCTCCATACAATACTTCTTATCTGAGTTAACAATCTTTACTTCACTTTGTCGACCGCGTGGCAAACCATAGGGACCGAAGATAGCTTTACTGGGTCATTTTTCACTGTGTGTGAGATAATCTTCGGTCTGTCGGTCTCGTGAGGGATTCTGGTCTCTGGGGAGTGAAGCAGACCTCGGGAACTTCTTTGATACGTTGGTCTGGGTGCTTGTGTTGGACCAAGTCTTCCTGTCCGTGTTTGTCGATGAATCTCTTGTACTGGTGTTATGGTGGAGCTGTGAGTTAATGGCGCTTGTGGAGGTTGTGCCATTAAACACCTCTAGAGCTCCTTTACAACCTTGGGTCGCCGTTCTGTTGATCGTCGTCATTTTGGGGGTAACATCAGTACAGTCAATCACCGCCTCTTCAATGATGAGGACATTTATGCGGTCTTGTGTCTTTGCGGTCTTCTGGCTTGGAGGAGGAGGTAGCCATGATGTTCCTAGCCACTGGGACCATTGTAGTCTTGGGGAAAAATGTGTTTGTTCCCCTTGGCTCCCAGCAACAGTTGGTCTCTTCGTATCACCAGTTCTTAGGGAAAGCTGTGAAGGGAAAGAACCAGGTATTAAATTATTTCCCTTATAAATTATTAACACCACCTGAAGATTAACCTCCTGAGCTTACACAAAATAATACAATACACCTCACTGATTATTCTCATCAATACAGTAAAAATACAACCATGTATAATTTACTTTAATACAATATATAAATCTATCTGTAAACACATAAGTGAATATATGAACAAATTATACACTATACAATTATATTCTTTCATTATAGTTCATAATTATAGAACTTCTGGAGGAATTATATATGTGCAGGTGTATATAGGTGTGTGTAAACTCCCCCAGGTGTATATAGGTGTGTGTAAACTCCCCCAGGTGTATATAGGTGTGTGTAAACTCCCCCAGGTGTGTATAGGTGTGTGTAAACTCCCCCAGGTGTATACAGGCATGAAGGTAAACTCCCCCAGGTGTATATAGGTGTGTGTAATCTCCCCAGGTGTACACAGGACCCACCCGACGAAGGGACAGAGCCTGGGACATGTTCCTCCTCAACACGAAGACAAACTCTGCCTGACGATCCCTTGGCCACTGTGCCTTCACCTCCAGAGGTCTCTCCTGCGGTAGGATCATGCGGTCGTTGTAGTCTGGGCTGCGGCGAACCTGCGGATGATACCAGCGGTTAGTGGCTTAAAATATATGTACTCTGGGGTCAAAAAATACGACAAAATGAGGTAAATAAGATTATTAGCTTGAAAAATATGACAAAATTACAAAAATAAGGAATTTGGGGTTTAAAAATAAGATTACATGACAAAATAAGATTCTTAGCTTGAATAATAGGATGAAATAAGTAAAATATGGATTCCTAGCTTTGAAAATAAGGTTCATAGCTTTAATAATAGGATAAATTATGTAAAATAAGTTATATTAACTCTAAAAAATAAGATTACATGATAAAATAAGATTCTTGGCTTGAATAATAAGATAAAAATAAAAAATATGGAATCCTAAATTTAAAAATGCGAGAACAAGAACCCAGGAGGACAATGACCCCAGGAGAACAATGGACCCCAGGAGGACAATGACCCCAGAGGACAATGACCCCAGGAGAACAGTGACCCCAGAGGACAAGTTAATGCACAGCTAGAGGACAAGGAGGACATGCACCCCAGGAGAACAGTGACCCAGGAGAACAATGACCCAGGAGAACAATGACCCCAGGAGAACAATGACCCCAGGAGAACAATGACCAGGGGAACAATGACCCAGAACGACAATATCACCCAGGAGGACAATATCACCCAGGAGGACAGTAACCCCAGGAGGACAATAAGACTCTACCTCATGGATAGCGTAGTAGCACTTGTTATCAGGAGTATTACAGCAGTTAAGGAGTAACTCAACCACCTCCTCTGCGGTAGTTCTGTCTGACACCAGCAGCGACTTGTACTGCGACTGTCAAGGGATGATAGAGAGGTTTTGTTTACATCTGTTTATGGGATCTTGTTACTGTTTACACTCTTAGTTATTGTGTTTAATGTTGTTTACAGTTATCTTTCTCTGTTTATAAGTCTAGTTATATACAGTAGGAAATATCTGCAGGAAAATGGTGATGAGAGAGAGAGAGAGAAGAGAGAGAGGAGAGAGAGGAAGAGAGAGAGAGAGAGAGAGAGGAGGAGAGAGAGAGAGAGAGAGAGAGGAGAGAGGAGAGGGGAGAGAGAGAGGAAGAGAGAGAGAGAGAGAGAGAGGAAGAGAGAGAGGAGAGAGAGAGAGAGAGAGAGAGACCAAAAGTATCATGAACCTTTATCACACATGAATCGGAATCACCAGGGATGGACAGCGAAGTGGCGGGCCTGGCACTGTCCTCCAGAACCAACAGTGACCTGACCGGGGCACCTGACCACCTGTAATATAAAACCTGTCTTTTAGTACCTGTCTATCTATCTGTCTGTCTGTCTGTCTGTCTATCTGTCTATCTGTCTATCTATCTGTCTGTCTGTCTGTCTGTCTGTCTGTCTGTCTGTCTACACCTCTATTTAATTATTCATCTGTCTATCTATCTATATATCTATCTATGTATCTGTCAATCTTCCTGTCTATACTGTATATTAATTACCTAAAATACACCTGTCTATCTATCTATCTATCTATCTATCTACCCATCCACCTCACCTGCGGACTGTGACCTCCATGGTGAGGTAGAAGAGGTTCGGGTCACGGTGCCGCATGCGGAACTTGGAGAGCAACAGGCACCACCTCCCGACAAGTGGCTCTGGCACTCACTGAGATGGTCTTGTACTCGATGTCTGACCGCAGGCACTTGGCGAACACCTTGATGGCTGTCTGTGGAGAGAGGAGGTGATAGCCTGATAGTGGGGGCTATTGGGGACAATTGGGGGCTATTGGGGACTATTGGGGACTATTTGGGGCTATTAGATTATTTGGGGCTATTGGACTATTTGGGCCATTGGGACTATTTGGGGGCTAGACTATTTGGGGCTATCGGGGACCTATATGGGAATACTGAGGGCTATTTGGTCTATTTGGGTCTTTGGGGCTATTTGAGGCTACTTAGGACTACTGGGTGTTCTTAGACTACTGGATCAAGAAGCAAAATTCTGTAGGAGGAGGAGGAGGGAGGAGGAGGGAGGGAGGAGGTGGAGGTGAGGAGGTGGAGGGAGGTGAGGAGGAGGGGGTGGAGGAGGAGGAGGTGGAGAGGAGTGTGGAGGGGGTGAGGAGGAGGAGGGGTGAGGGAGGAGGAGGAGTGTGGTAAGTGAGGAGGAGGAGGAGGGGAGGGAGGGAGGAGTGTAGGTGAGGAGGAGGAGGTGGAGGAGGAGGGAGGCATTTCCTGTAATATAATCAGGTGCAGTATGGCCGTAACTCTGAATTTCTCACGCCCACGCCCCACCAATGCCACCAACCATCCAACCTCACGCCCACATCCTCACCCACACCCATGGTCTAACTAAACCGCCCCATATCTACATCAAGACTCACACCCCACCCCATACACACACACACTCTCACGCCCGCCCACACCCACGCCCACCCACAACCCAACATGCTACTGATTGGCAGAATATAAGTACATCTGTTACTGATTAGCCACACACACGTTTCTGATGAGGAATTGTTGTCGTCATTTCTTTCAATAATTACATTTACAGGTAGATGCAGTTACAGGTAGATACAGTTACAGGTAGATACAGTTACAGGTAGATACAGTTACAGGTAGATGCAGTTACAGGTAGATACAGTTACAGGTAGATACAGTTACAGGTAGATGAGCGGTGATACAGGTTAGCAGTTACAGGTAGATGCAGTTACAGGTAGATACAGTTACAGGTAGATAAAGTTACAGGTAGATACAGAGGTACAGGTAAAGGCACGGGGCACGACGGGTCAGTAATTAGTGAGGATTGGACAGTATGGGGCATTAGTAGCAGGGGGGGCAGGAAGGCATTGGCAGGTAGGGGAGGTGGTGGTAGGGGAAGGGAGGGGGGGAGAAACAGGTCACACAGAGCTGGATAACAGGTGGTGGCGCCAATACCTGCCCTAGGAGCTACCTGAGTTCTCAACACACTCCACTACTACCACCCACCGTTAACTCAACCCACTAACCATTACTACCACATTACCTCCCAATATTACTACCTACCACTACCACCCACTACTACTACCACCCACTACCACTACCACCCACTACTACTACCACCCACTACTAATCTCAACCACTACCATCACAACTTCCTGTCATTACCACCCCCACCCCTACTCCCTACACCCCTCCCTTACCAGCTGCACAGGAAATACCATCACAGTAATGACTTCACTATAAGAGTCTGAATCACGACTATAAGGCAGATCAAGAAGGCTGGAGGTCGACCTTCAACAGGTAACCTTGAGTCTCAATTACAGGTGAGTTAACAAAGGATTATGGGAGCCTGTGTACAGCCTCTAGGGTCTAGGGGGGGATGGGTTTAAATACCTGAGTGATATTTACATACATACATACATACATACAACCAATTATATGAATACACACACACACACACACACACACACAGGACTGGTGGTTGAGGCTGCTCCTGGGACCTCGTTTGGCATTCCACAAGGAGAGGACTGATGACCACGACGAATACTCAATGTATTATGGGAGCCAACCTAACCTAACCTAACCTAAATCTCACTAGCCCTCATCTCCTCCTCCTCACCTCCACAACCTCCTTCACCACCATCTCCTTCACCACTGTCTCTGCCCGTGACAACACCGGGGCCAGCTTCCCACACCAATAGCTCCCCGTCAGGAATGTTGGTTAGGTTAGGTTATAAAAACATCATGAAGGGGTTGGTGTTGTCCTCAGGTGATGCTCCCTCTTGTAGGCAAAGAAATAAAGTTAATTGCTTGACCTTGATGTTAAGGAAGTCACGAGGATGACCTTTTTCTTGAATGGGGTCACGTCGGGTAGGGTGGTGGGCGTGAGGATGAGTAGTGAGGGCGTGAGGATGAGTAGTGAGGGCGTGAGGATGAGGGCGAGCTAAACTGAGTGACGGACGTGGGGGAGTGGGACAATTTGTGGGCGTTGATGAGTGGGGTGTGGGGATGCGTGGGGTGGCATGGGCGTGAATCATTGAGGCCTTTTAGTGTAAGGTATATCAGAGGTGCATGGGAAAGCTTGGTAGGGGAGGGGGTGAGGGGCGCCTCCGTTACCCACGCCAGAGGGAGTCACACGCCCTAGGCTATCCATGACACCTGCAGTCTCGCCCTACACCTCCACCAGGTCACTGCACCACCTTCACCTGTCATTACCTGTTTGTACCTGAGTGTAATCAACAGGTAATTAGTTTAATGGTCTTTACTGTTGTGTTGATGAATATTAAACAATCTCCTGGTGTTAAAAATTTTTATATTATTTTTATTGTTTTATTACGAATATTTTAAGTCAATTTCACCATCACCATTATCATCGCTATTAACACCATAGTCATTATCACCATTTACCACCACCGTAAATACTTGGTCCTAACCCTCAGCTCTTAAAGGCCTCGTTGTTTGGACCTTAAAATTACTGGTATAACTATGTACACCTGGAAGGTAAGGTCAGGTCAGGTCGGGGTCAAGGTGATGGTACAGGTGGTAGGGGTAGAGGGTGGGTAATAGGGGTGGGTGGTGGGTGGTAGTGGTGGGTGGTAAGGGTGGGGTGGTGGTGTGGTAGTGAGTATTGTGGGTGGCAGGGGTGGGTGTGTGTGTAGTTACATGAGAATTGTAGTAATGTGGGTGGCAGTAGTAGTAGTGAGCGGGGTGGGTGGGTGGCATGGCGGCGGCTCTGGCGATTAGGGGGTGGCAGGTGGGAGGTCAGAGAGGTCGTGGATGGGCATAATTATCCTGCGACCTCTGACCTCCAGGCTGCCAACCGTGCTTCACCCAACCTCCCTCAACCACGTCAGGCAGTACCTCAACCACGTCAACCATTAGGCCTTCAAGCACCAATACACCCCAGCAAGCAGTTCAATACCCCCTTCAAGCACCAATATAACTCACCAAGCATTCCAGAGCTCATCAGTAGCCCTAGGCAGGTGTTCCCACAAGCTAGATAGCGTTACGTAGCCTCGAGATGTACTGGTATACCCGGCTATGTGTTGGGGCTACACTCCTAGCGGCTATTGCCACGACTACTACACCGGATATGGGAGTCCTGGTCCTATGTAATATGGGAGGCTATTTAGGTCATGTTCGTTATGGAGGTTATACGATAGTCTATTTTGGCTATTTTATTACGGGCTATGGAAGGCTATGTAGTGTTATGGAAGCTATTTCTCATCAACACTGGGATTATGGTGACTACGTTAGGCTACTTTCTTACAGGTCATAACAAGGCTACTTCATCAGAGGCTATACGACACGATCGCAGGCTACAACAGGGTTCAAGATTACGACAGAGCTACTTAACACACAAGGTAGACAAAGAACCTACAAGACAACTGGGCTAATCACGTAAGCAAAAATCCGGTTAATTGCATAAAATTCACTAGAGCTTTTAAATATTCTTAAACCGGGGCCCGCTACCCCCTGTCGCTTGCGGGCCTTCCCCACTCCCCTACCCACTACCTATCCGGCGACCTTCCTGTTCTCAGCAGTGTCGTCCCCATTCCACGATTACCTCCCTCCCCTCCTCTCCCCTCTCAGGTGATCGGGTTTGTGGTGGTTAATGGTGGGAAAAAGACGCTAGTGAGGGTACCTGCCCGAGCCACGCCACGCCACTGTCCTGCCCTCATTACCATCCACAACATGTCACCCCTTTTATTCTGCTCCCACGCCATGCCGCGCCACCTCTGTTCTGTACCACGCATCTCCCGCGTCACTATCACCCACGCCAGACAGATAGATAGATAGATAGATAGATAGATAGATAAAGAAAGAAAGGAAGAACAATTACACGTGTGACCAAAGAGTCCCACTTCCTTACCAGTGAAGGCACGACCACCAACACGTCAGGGAGGAAACAGGAGGGAGGAAACAGGAGGGAGGAAACAGGAGGGAGGAAACGATAGATAATATAATTAACCCAGCGAAGAGGAAGTAGAGATGAAGGGAAGTAACAGAGGAGGAAGAGACAGACCGGCAAATTGGTGGAACGTGGGTAGATATGTGAGAGAGACAAACAAGAAGGGTGTACACTGTGGATCAGGACAAAGGAAAGATTTAACATGTTATAAGACAGATTGAGTTCAGTGTAGTGTAAAAGCATCTTGTGTGATGACGGCATATTTGTCTAGATCAAGGCAGGGCCTATGTCCAATGGGCCTGTTTCTAGTCTTCAGTGTAGTAGACCCAGAGTATTATCCCATAAGTTTATCTCATTTTATTGTGTCTTGTAACTGGTGGTAAGTGAACGTATCTAGTTCAGGTCAATTCAACATGCAATTCTTATGTTATTTTTCTAATGATTCGTTTATATTCCATCATAACTCAACTAATACATTATTTACATCTTCACTTATGACAAAGAAACATTCAGTAAACATACAAACACAAACATTCAAACCCGTTAAGTTAAGTAAAATACCTCAGTTAGGCCTTAAACATAACAGAGAGGCGGAACCTTCACTCGCTATGGCTGACTATGGGATTAAAATGAACCTCATTGGCAGACCAGTTGTAAACATCCTGGTGAAGAGACCGCGATCCTAGATGGTCTTTCGCGGTCCTAAGTGGTCTCTCACGGATTAGTGTGAAGGGCCTGGGTTTTAGGGGTCTATCTGACTGCAAAATAAGACCTTTTTTTGTTGATTTTGGGGTCTGTATCTGAGTACGTGGTCTATCTCTGGTCTTTTCTCTCCTC